TAGCCTCGGGGACACAGGCTAAGACACAGCCACCTCGCTCAGGCAGGAAGGGCTCCTTGGGAGGGAGCAGGTCTCCCCGGGGCCAGTCATGACCTGGCCAAGACACACGTAGGACCTGCGTCATTGCTGCATGGGAGAGACTGCACTAGGAGGTGGGGCAACAGGGCAGGCCGCCAGGCTCCCCGTGCCTCAGTTTCCTCATCTGTAACATGCAGCAGTAACGACACCCACTCTGTGGGGCAGACAGGGTTCTGAGATACTCAGTCAAGATCCCGGCACCCACTTATCACTCTTAACGACACCGGTTAAGTCCGGGACTGTACTCCGCCTCCTCTCAGTCCCACGGTGAGCAGTGGCTCCAGCGGCCTTTGGAGCTTGGGGGCGCGTGGAGTCGGGTCTTGAATGACGGCAGAGATCTCTGCCGTGAGGCTCCTGGAATGTGACGCTCACTGGGCTGAAGCCGAGCTCACATTTTTCTAGGTGCGCATAGTGGAAACAGAACCAAAATATTATTACAAGGCTAAGTTCTGTGCTACAGTCGTCATTAATACATGACAGTGTTGTTTTAGTTTCAGCTAAACACTTTCCCTGCGCTCCGGGCAGCTGCTGGCCTCTCCGCTCCAGGCCCTTGAGCTGGACACAGGAAAGGAGAGCCGTGCTCAGGGCCATTTGCTCAGCTGGGAGAGGAGCCACAAGCACAGACACGGGGTTCCCCAGCCAGTGTTGCCCCCAAAATGCTGGAGAGAGACCCCTGCTTTCTCCTGAGGGGGAGGGGGTGGTGCTTCTGAGCAAGTTCCAACCTTGGTGTTGGGAGGAGAGAAGGGGCCTTGCTTCCTTCAGTGTGGGGGTCCCTGGGCTTTTGGAGCTGCTGGGAGGCCTACAGATTCTCAAGGCGTCTATGGTCAGCTCTCCTGGACAGAACAGAGAAGATGGGGTCCCAGGACTCAGCGTGGCATGGCTGTCACGGGCACTCTTGGGCACCAGCTCCCCTCCCCCCCTCCACCTGAGCCCTACCCCAGCTGGCCCTGGATGTGGGTGCACAGGGAACCCTCCTGGTCCATAGCTCCACTGTGACCCCTCAGGCATTCATATACTCAGACATCAGAGTCCCCAGCTCTCGGCCCACACCACTGGGAGACCACTTGGCTGTGAGAAACGACCCCTCTGAGCAGCGTAGGCCCTTGACACATCCCCATTCCTGCTTCCTGCCAACCCTTGTCCTTGATAGAAATGGTGCCCACTGTCTGCCCTCTCCCAGCATCACCGAGTAGAGCAGAGCGCTCCTGGCCAGCAAATCAGTGTCAGGGAATGTCAGACCCGACATTCCCCCCAGCAGCATATATTGGCAACACAACGAATGCTGTACGGCTAGGAATGACGTTTGTAGAACCCGTCACCGCCCCGGTGTACGGGGGCTGAGTGAGGCACAGAGGGGTTGCCTGGCTGCAAGGGACAGACTGGACTGTGGTCCTCCGGCCCCAGGGCTGGTCCCGGCAGAGCAAGGACCACTTTCCTCACGGCCCCCAGGTCAGAAAAATAAGGTCATGAGACTCCTCGACAGGCAACTCCCAGGGGCCATTAGGTCTTGGCTTGATGGATTCTAAGTTCTACCGTTTTCCTCTCTGCCAAACTGGCCACTTCTCTCATTTTCCCCATCTTCCTCCTGCCTCCTTGGGCCATGGGCTTTATCTCATTATTCTTCTCTGCAGTCTGGGAGTGAGTGCTGAGCTCATGTACTATTTATGCTCTTGTACATAATGAAAACATCTGAGATGTGAGGTCCCTCCTGAAGGCTCACTGGCCAGCGGGTTCTGTATTCGTGTTTCCTGAATGGGCTGTCGCGGCATTTCCTCTGCTTGGACCATTGTCACCTGGAAGCCCGTTCCTCTCCCAAGCTGTCTGCTGGCCTCAGGGAGGCTGAGGTCATGTCCGGCTCCGATCGTCCTTGGTGCATCAGGGCCCAGTGTCTGCCCATGCACACAGCTCCTGCAAGCAAGGGCTGTCTCTGAGCTGCCTCCATAGCAGACAGCATGTGCCGGGCCAGGGTGGGAGGCCTGACTTAATGTTTCTTCCAGAAAGTTCTTGTTTCTCAGTCCTCTGGCCTGCCTTGCTGACAGCACCTCCCCTGCCCTCAGAATGGAGAGTGACTATTCCTCCATCTCAGTGGGAACCAGAGGGGATGTGTCTCCATCACCACGTGCTGGGATGTGCTGCCGAAACAAACACTACCACGCAGCTGATGTTGACTTCTTGCCGGCTGCGAGTTGGCTGGCAAGCCAAGCGGTGTGAGCGGTCCTCTTAGCAGGACCCAGGGCAGGCACCATGTGAAGAAGCATTGCCGCTCACCACGCAAGCATGGAGCATTATGTGCTGACTCAGGAAGCTTCCCCAAAGTGTCACACGTCATGTACATACACTTGTGTGGGCAGGTCAGGTATAAGGCGGTGCTGAGTCCAGGTGGAGCAGAGGGCGCAGGCCGCCCTGAGCCCAGGAATGCCACGCCAAGTGGCACCACCACTTGCAGCCCCTGCCTCCCTGGGCTCAACGTCTCTTCTCGATAAAAGTGCTTTATACTTAGGCTTCATTCCTATTCAGACAGAGCACCCACTTAAACGCTAATGCCTTCCAAATATCTGTTTGGGTTGACCCCTGAACACACACACACACACACACACGTGAAACATGTGTGCACACAATGGGAGCTTGTACAACCACACACACGGGTACCCTTAGGTGTGCGCATATACACATGTACACATATACACATGAGGGAGCACACACAACCACACCCACGTACCCATGTGGGTATGCACATACATACACACGTGCTCACACACACACCCCACAGCTGTTTCCGGGGGTGTGGGTTGGGGTCACGGAACACAGCTCACTCATCTAAACCAGGGGCCTCTGCATGCAAGAGCAGTGAGGGGCTGGCTGTATGGCCACCGTGGGGTACCTGATCCCCTCAGGGCAGCCATCAGCTTCCCCACAGGAGCCACCCTTCCCAGGGAGCCGTCTTCCCTCTCCCCACCTCCATCCTCCCTCCATTCTCCGTCATTTAATCCCAGTACATTCTTTTCCATCATTCCTGTTTGGGATTGTGCTGCTCAGGATCCCCGAGGGGCCGGTATAAGGATGTGAGGTTCCTGGGCACCAGGATTGGGGACATGGCGCTGGACATGGCAGGGTGTCCAGTACACTCACCCAAGTCTTGTATCCAACAGTGGGTTTTTGTTTTGTTTTGTTTTTTTCCATCTACACAAACCAAGGATCCAGTGCCCAAATGACCAGGCCCCCCAGATGGGGCATTGGGTGGACCCTGGTTTCTCTGGCCCCCAACCCACGGCCTGCCATCCTTATCCAGTGAGGAGGGCAGCCCCAGGCTTCGGAAGCAAACCTAGACACCCCTTATAGGTGCAACAAGAGCTGTTTTCAAATGGGAACTCCCCCAGAATAGGGCAAAACCCCAATTCCTAACTGTCCAGCACTGCTATTAGAGGTTTGCATTTCATTTTGTAGGCTTGACATTCTGATACATGTAACACTTTACATAATTTTAGAACAAAATTAAATGTTTGAGAAGCAACCCCTAAAAATCAAATGAGTCGAAGAAAGCCAGCTGATCGATGGGAGTGGAGTCAGGTGCTCCGAGGAATTTGAACATGGCGAAGTGACCCCAGCATCGGCCAAGCGACGTGACACTCAGACGTGGAGGCAGCAGACAGACCACAGACACTGGTGTTCATGTCGTTTGGTTTGATGCGGGGCCTGTGGTCACTCAGGAGCCCTGCCTTTGAGATATGGAAACACTCCCGTGGCAGAGGAAATGCCTGGGTCTCCTCGGCGGGGGCTGGGGTTGGACCTGGAGGCTGGACACGCAGGACCGCCTTGAACCCCTCTGGTTTCCATGTGCCTAACACCTACACACGAAGAGCTAAAAGACACACTCAGACTGTATTCTGAGGAGCAAGGACTATTTTTGGAAAAGATGTCCATATGCGCAAAGGGTGGGCTTTCTGAGGAGCCTGTGAGTCAGGTGCTCTGGGCTCGGTCTAAAGGCTGCCAGGGGGATGCAGAGCTGACCCCACACATGGACCCTCCCCAAACGGGGGAGAGGAGTGGGGAGCAGGGCATACCTCTGTGCTATAGTGTCTTCTCATCAAGCAAGACATGAACAGGCATTACGTGATCCTAGAGCCCCTGAGGCCCATTAGGAGGCCTGACCCTGGCCCCAGGGCTGGGGCCCAAAATACACTTGGATAGAACCGGGGTCTCTCTGAATGAATGAGACGGAATTGATGATGGGTCCTGCCAGGTGACAGGCCACGAGGGGCACATTAGCTGGTGGGGGTTCGAGGGGGGCACCTGCAGGAGGCAGAGGGAAGGTTACGGCTGGTCCCGAGGGAGCCCGACAGCCAGAGGGCTGATGGGTACTGGGTTCTCTAATTAAACGTTGTGATGTAATTAGAATCCGCTCCCCAGCCCAGGAGAGACGCCGAGGTGGGAGTTCTCACTGCTGTGCTAGAAGCCCAGGCACGAACGCAGGGAGAAGGCCCTCCTCCCAGGGCACCCTGAGCTCTCTGCCGACCTCAGCTGAGGGTGAGCACAGTGTGTGACGGTGGTCAAGGGCATCAGGAGGCCTTGAGGGCGGCATCGGGAAAAGCACCGAAGCTCCCAGAGCCCGGCCACCACTCAGTCTGTCACGGGAGGGGGTGGGGGCTCCCCCCTCCGCGCCTCAGTTTCCCCCCTGGAGAGAAGGTCCTAGCCAGTGCCTAGCCCACCTGGCTCCCAGGGCCACCCCTTGGGTACAGGGGACAAGTAGGGATCAGGCTTCAGGCCCGTTGTGAGGCCCCTCAAAGACCCCATGGTCCAAGGCCTCTGGCACCAGGAAAAACACTTGGGTTCAGAAACACAAGTAATCACTGTTTTTGTACCAAGAATCTTACAAGTAAGGTGTCTCCAATCTTAAGAAAAACTTAAGAAACACAGGCCAACACCAGGAATATACATGTAACTGTCATTTTAACCAACATTATTGGAACATCTTTAGAAGGAAACCGTTTGGCTGAGTCTCTCTGATTTTAAACTAAGAGGCTTCTTTCTTCGTGCAGACCTGCTGTCCCAGGCCCAGGCCCAGCTGCCTTGGGAATCCACCAGAGAAGGCCCGGAAGGCCGGCGTCCTGCTATCTCCGCCAGCCAGCAGCTCTCCGATATGCTGGAAGCAGGCACCCTGGAAAACCCGTCATCGGCGAGAACCCATGGAAGCATGAGGGGCTGGGCCCCAGTCTCAGCACCATGACCTCAGCCCAGACTGCCGGCACCGGTTTTATCGCCGCACAAGGAACATTCCAGAAGCAGCACAGCGGCTGTTTGTACAGCACTGGCTTCCAGTAGCACAGGACCCTGAGGGGTGCAGTTGCTGTGCCTGGCTCACCCCACTGGCAGATGTTACATGGGCTCCATGCACAAACCTGGAGAAAGCCAGTGTGTGGAGCACACATGGGGTCTGAGTCCCTCTGAGGGCTGGCACATACGTCAGGCATGGTGGATGCCGGGAAGGAGGCCTCATGCAACCCCGAGGCAGCCATCGGTCCAATCATCCAGCCGTCTGAGGGTGGGACCCACACACCAGCCAAGGCTCTGAGGCAATTCCAGCCACCAGTGACCAGGGCCCCCGAGCAGAGGACCCAGGGCCAGCCTCCTGAGCCACACATTCTCCACTGCCCCCGAGAACGTGGTCAGCTGGTCCCCGCACAGCACAAACCCCATCTCATTCCTGAAGGTATCCACCCCCTTCCACATGCTCAGATTGAAGGTTTCAGTCAATGTTTCTACAGCCCAACCTGCAAACCCGGGACTTGTAACAATTACTGTCTTGCTCACGGGACAGCCAAGGCACAGAAGGAAGCGCGGTCCCACTGCCTGAGTTCACACGGCGTTTATTCGCCCTCCATAGGGGGCGGGAGGGGCTGCCCACCGGCCCTAACAAGAGCCGAGGAGGCTGCCTCCAGGATCCGGGTGATGATGGCGAGGAGTCGGCCCTCTCTGGCGCCTCATGTGCATCCTTGGAGCTCACGGCACACCCCAGGCCGGGTCAGAGCAGGCCACCGCCGTCCAGCTGCAGCTGCCGGGCCAGCTGCTGCCCGATGGTCTGCAGGGGGCTGGCTCTGTAGGCGGGACTGGCCAGTAGATCCCGGAAGCGGGTCCTTTCTTCCTCACTGAAAAATTGAGGTTGGAGGTCAGCAGACTCCACGCCCGGGATGGTGGGCTGAGTATTGAGTATTCAGCATCCAGGACCCACCTCAGCTGGGCCACCCACACCCAGGCGCCGCAGGGCAGGCTGAGCCCTGGCTTAGACAGGAGAGGCCGAATCACCGGGGGGGGGGGGGGGGGGGTGCCAGCAAAGGGCTGAGCGCAGGGTGGGGCCTAAGGAAGGCAGCCTGAGCTTCTTGAGGGGGCTAAGGGCTGAGCAGGGCTTTGGGTAGGAGAGGAGACGCTGCCCTGGGCCTCCTCTTGCTCACACTTGGGTCCACTGGGCCCACACATGGGGTTGGGGTGCCAGCATCCCTGCCCCTTCCCCAGGGAGGGGATTCTAGGCTCGTCCCCAACCTTGACAAGGAGCTGCTATTAAAAACGAAAGGCTGCCAAATGCAGGGAGGCAGCAGCCTGTACACACCATGCAGACGCACAGCCTTACCTAAGAGGCGCCCTCCCTCCAGCGCTGCCGAAATAGACACGGCCACTGCAGGAACCAAGGGCCAGGGGTTCTGCGCGCCCACAGCCCCAGGTGGCACCGCTGCCTCACAACAGAGAAGGAGGGATCCTCTCCTGCAGGAGCCCTGAGCCTGACTCCGCAGTGCAGGCTGCCTTCCTGCACGCCTGCCTGAGCCCAGCCGGCCCCTGGGTGCGCGCGGCCATGCCGCCTCCTGGAAGCGCGGGGGCAGCTCCAGCTCTGCCGGCCCTGAAGCCCAGCCATGGTCCCCGCTGCCTAACAACACCTGCCGCCGAAACAGAGGTGCCCCGGCCAGAAACCTCAGGTGGCAGCTCCAGGACAAGTTCACATGGGCCTGCGGTGGTGGGAATGACCTGTGTGTGGTGTGTGGTGTGTGGGTGTGGTGGGGGGCAGGGGGGAGCCTGTGCTCTACCCTGCATGTGTGACTGTGGGCAAGGCCATACCATGCCATGCCAGGCCATACCATGCCAGGCCACAGCTTTCCTGGTTATTAACGGGAGAACTTGAACAAGTAATTACCCACTGGACAAGTAATTACCTGAGCCAGGTGACAATATCTGGGACACCCTCCCCGCCCCAAACCCAGGACTGGGGCCTGAGGGCAGCCCCAAGAGCCGGCAGCTGCTCCCCTCCCCACTCAGGGGAAGGGGCTTCCTGACCTCCCCCCGGAAGCAGGCCACTTCACGCCAACCAGGCTGTGCCTCCGCGGGTCCTGGCTGAGCTGCCCACGGCACCCGAGTGGACTGAGGCTGGGGGCCCTGCCAGAGCCTCAGGGCGGGGGGGCGGTACTCACAGGAGCTGGAGCCTCTGCGCCGCGCTCATCTGGCTAAGCTCCGCCGGCCGGGGCTTGCTGCTGGTTCTGTGGACAGAGAACCGAGTCAGGGCCATGCCCAGGTCACCTGGAATGTCTGCCGGAGCGCCTCGCTGAGGCTGCAGCCCACGGTAAGGCTTTGGAACGGTGCTGGGATAAGGAAGACTCTGGGAGCAGGAGAGGCTTCGCAGAGAAGGACCCGGGCGAGGGGGGAGGGAAAGAAAAACTGCCCAGTCCTGGCCAACTCAGCTCCAGCTCAGATGCCCTCATCTTTAATTGGGATTTTTTTTTTTTAAGTAGGAATGAAAAAAATTCCTGGCCCACCCAGGGCAGCACCTGCACCACATGCTACTGTCACCATAGCTCAGCCCGACTTGGTCCCAACTATGCCTGTCCAGGACGTTGCTCTGCTCTTCCAGCCACTGACCCAGTCCCCGCGTCCACCCGGGTGCGAGTCCCTTGCTGACCACCCACAGCTCTCCCAGGCCTGCGGATCTGGGGTCAGAGCTCCCTTCCCCCAGCCAGAGCTCCCAGAAGGTGGCCATGCACTGGGAGGTCCAGGAAATAGGGTCTAGCACAACGCTACTGGCCGGAGGCCTATGGCCCTGGATCTCCACACACCCCGCCCCCCCTTACTAAGGCAGAATAGGAGGTGGGCTGAGGCCTCCCACAGCTCCTCCCAGCCCCAACGTGCTATAGACAAATCCAGGAGTCTCGTCAGTAAGAGGCAAGAGGGAGCAGGACCCTCCCCCAGCCTCAGGCAGCTCCCAAGACAGACATGACTTCCTCCCCAACGGGCATCCCATGAGTTAAGGACTCTGCAGACAAAGCCAGGCGGGTAAATCCCTCACTCGGTAGCATGGGGTGCAGCTTTCACCCACGGTGCCAGCCCCAGTCCTGCCCCGAGGTCCTGGCAGGTCTGGGCTTCGGCCCTTGGACGTTTTTCCAGTGAACCCCTGGCTGGGCTGACGCCCTCGAAGCCGGGCCATCGCAGCGTGGAGCTCTCCAGGTAGCTGAGAGGGAACTCACCCTCGGGTGCGCGGCCGCCGGGCGCCAGCTTCCAGCTCCAGCAGCTCGGGGAGGGCGTCCCGGAGGGGCTGCAGGTCCCCCACCACCACCGTGGCCCGCCGCCTCCGCTCCGCCTTCAGTTTCTGCTCAGCCAGCTTTATGGCTTCGATTTCTGAGGAAGGGAGACAAGGAGTTAGCGCGGGAGCAGAAGGCTGGGGAGCCCCGCCATCTGAGCCAAGTCTGGGCTGCTCCTTCCTGCCCACCACAGGCCCCTGGTTTCCGGCTGGCTGGCACCTCCAAGCCGCCCTGGGAATCGGGGGGCGATCTGGCTCCGAGCTATGTCTCCCCTAATCAGAGAGGTGTGCTCTTAAATTACAGGGCTGGTGATGAGACTTGTCACAGGGCCTGGGCTCTCAGTGGCTGTGGAGAGCCACACAGTGACAGAGAGGCTGGTGGCTGCATCCCATTCTTGCTCGCTCCCCGAGCGCCTTCTGGGGAGGGATGCACTTGAAGGGAGAGTCCCGGTGGGGAGGGGGAGCCAGCTTCCTAACCTAGAAATGGGTGAGGGGCCGAGTGCTGCGGGGGTCTCACAGCCCTGGGAGGGGGGCAGTGGGACAGGAGAAGGTGGTGGGGCAGAGCAGGGTGTAGAAGAGCTAGAGGGTGAGGCTGGGTCAGTGGCATGCAGCGGCCTGTGTCCTAGAAAGAGATTTGGGCAGGGCCTGAACGGAGCATAGCCTTGCAATTTCATTTCCATTAAAAATATATTTATTTCAAAATTGCTAATAAAATACATGCTGAAAATTGCTAATAAAAAACATGTGGTTTCCAGTGTGGCTTGTGGAAAACGCTGGCTCGCTGGTGGGCATGCGGATCTTGCACAAAGGCCCTTCCTTCCCCAGGGATGGAGGGGCAGGCCCCCCATTGGCAGCCTAGATGGGCCCAGGGAGGGCCAGAGGCCGCTCTGCTGACTGAACCTGTGCTCACTGATCTTCAACTGGCTCTGCACCAGGTTTTATTAAAAAAAAAAAAAAAAAAAAAAAAAAAAAAAAGGCTCTGCTACTACAAACGCTTGGAAATGAGGACAGTGACGGGCTTAGGGTGAGACCTGAGCTTGACACTCATCTCACCCTGGTTTGTTGGGCTATAAATAACGGGGTGCAGACTCTGAATCACATCCAACCGGGAACTAAAACCCCTTCCTGACAAAGGACCAGGACAATTCACAGCCAGCTCCTGGCAGAGCACAAGGTGCCCCTGGAGGAGAGGCAGCCAGTGCCCAGAGAAGGGAGCGGCCTGCTCCCCTGTGCATTCCTGTGCCTCCATGGCCAGGGCGTCAGAGCGCTGTGGCTGCCCTCAGCCTGAAGGGCGGATGCAGGAGGCCTCCGCACAACAGTGATGGCCACCAGGCACAGAGCAGGTACAGCTCAGGGTCCTGGCCGGGAAACCCCATGCATAAGGACAGACTCAGGCAGCCCGCTGATCAGTGCAGAGGACATGTGCACCGCACAGGGCTCCCAGCAAGGGTGTGAAAGTGATGGTCCGAACAGGCGTTTTCAAGAGGCAGCTTTCCAGAAACTGACACTGCGCATCTAGCAGGGAGAAGTGCCTGGCAGGCCTCCCAAGGCCAGCTCTCTCCCAGCCTGCAGCAGAGACAGCACTGGGATGGCCGGAACAGGCTCTGGAAGGCCCACCCTGACCGAGCCCAATCAGGGACACGTGCTGGCCATCCCACCCCCTAAGGGCCCTGTGGAGAGAGGGTTGTTCTTGCCCCAAACAGCTGAGTCCAGGGGACAGACTACCCACCCTCCTGGGTCCTTGTGCACCAAGCCCCATACCATCCCTCGGAGCCCGGAGTTATTAGGTGACAATTCAGGTGTTCCCATCCTCTCTGGTCTAGGACAAACTGTGCCAAGCACCTTGTCGCCCCAGATGCCTCTTCCCAGAGAGCTCAAAGCACCCTGGGGGGTGGGGGGATGCGCCCAGGGGGGAACCTTAAAGTCTCAGGGTGGAGACCTCAGGCAGGGGAGGAGATGGGAAGGACGCAGGAGGGGGGTGCCCTGGACCACAGGCAGGGCGCCAACGCCACACCAGGACCAGCAGAGCCCGAGGCTCTCAGGAGGACGGAAGCAAGCACTTAACCAATGAAAGCCAAAGCTTTTTAAGTTCATGTGTGGTGCCCAGCTGGGGGGTGTCGGAGGCAGGCAAGTCTGACTGGCCTGGGGACAGCTGCCAGGCAGTCCACTGCAGCGGCTGCTTCAGAGGGGAAGGCCTATAGTCACCAGGAGTGCCAGAAAGAACCCGGCAGAGCTTCCGCCACTCGTAATGACGACGACACACAGACGAGGAACTGCCTTAATCTGCCTCAGACGACCTCCCAGACAGGCCGGTGGTAAAAAATCACCGTGTCGGCGGAGCACTAGCCACACTCGTCCCGCAGCAGAGCAAGGAAAGGAGACTGCGGCTCCGTGCCGCCCCGGCGGGCGGTGCGGTCCCAGGCAGGGGTGGCCGGCAGGGCGCCGCCTGAGGACACGCCAGCCGCCGCGACAGCCTGCAGGGCCGGCTCCGCCGCCACCAACCCCAGGTCTGACACGTCAGTCAGAGCCCACAGGAGTCTTACCCAACCGGGGACACTAGTTCTACCTCTGATTTTTTAAAAAGGCCGAATGCAGCCGAAACCGGTTTGGCTCAGTGGATAGAGCGTCGGTCTGCGGACTGAAAGGTCCCAGGTTCGATTCCGGTCAAGGGCATGGACATTGGTTGTGGGCACATCCCCGGTAGGGGGAGTGCAGGAGGCAGCTGATCGATGTTTCTCTCTCATCGATGTTTCTAGCTCTCTATCCCTCTTCCTTCCTCTCTGTGGAAAATCAATAAAATATATTTAAAAAAAAAAAAAAAAAAGACCAAATGCATAATAGCCCAAACAGTTTTAGAAAAATACAAGCAATGACACAAGAGTGGGCCTACTGGATATTACAGCAGATTATGAAAGGACAGAAATTCAAACAGACCACATGCAAGAGGGCCTCCCAGGGAGACAAGGACCGAAGCAGTGCTTCAGAAGACCACTTGACCACGGAAAAGTGACTTCCTCCCTCCCCTTCGCTGCTCCTAAAAATTAATTAGAGGGTAAACCCACAGGCAACAGGCACAGCTTCGGCACATGCTGACCAAAAGGCACACCAAGCTGGTACTGGTTTCCCAGGCCTCGGGGCCTCATCCCTCACTGGCTCCCTCCACACCTCTGTACCTAATCCATGCAGAGCCCCTCATTAATTTCTCTCTAGGAAACCCTTTGAGGGTGCCGGGCTGAACTGACCCACGTGCTGATGTCTGCCCCCCAGAGCAGGATTTCATGGCCAGCCCACTCGAGAGCAAAGGAGGACAAGAAAAAGTGCCTCCTGTCAACTTTGTGGTCTAAAGCAGCAAGATCCGAGGCAGTGACAGTTGGGGAGCATCTGCTGGGGCACTGTGTCCTGCCCCTGCATTCTCTCCCCTAAGACAGTGCAGGAAGGTTCCCACTGACTGACAAAGCCGTTCATCCTAAGAGGTTTAATTTAAAACTAGCTGGAGGTGCAAAGAAGAAAGCTTAACAGGGCCCTGGCCGGTGTGGTTCAGTGGTTAGAGTGTCAGCCCACGCACCGAAGGGTCACGGATTCGATTCCCGGTCAAAGGCATGTACCTGGGTTGCAGGCTCCATCCCAGGCCCTAGCCAGGGGAGGCAACCAATCGTTGTGTCTCCCACATGTATGTTTCTCTCTGTCTCTCTCTCTTTCTCCCTCTTTTCTCCTTCCCTCCCTTCAACTCTCTCTAAAAAAAAAAAAAAAAAAAAAAAAAAAATCAATGGAAAAACTACCCTCATGGATTAACAACAACAAAAAAAGGGGTGGGGGGAAGCAAACATATGCATATCGGGTCTCTAAAACCAACCACACTGGCTCTGTTGAACATGGAAAATTTTTATGGGCTGGAACCTGCATTTTGATATGGTGCCCAGGATGGCTGGCACCAGCTCCCTGAAAGCCCAGCCATGCCCATAACAGAATTCAGAAGATAGGCGACTACAGAACATCATGGTCTTTCCTCCCAACTCCCCAGCCCATATTTGCTAATTTACAAATAACTGAAGGGAAGTTCCATGTAAATAGGGCCTGAAACAAAGCACTTATGCAACACGTGCTTGGGATTCCTCCTCCTGAGCAAAGCAGGCTGGTAGGACACCAGCATGGCCTCAGCCCCTGCCCCCCAAACCAGGAAGATCAGGAACGAACCTCACGGCTTTTATCACTGCACCAAAGGTCTGATCAAAGCAGTCAGAGGTCAAGAAAACTCTGAAACAAAGCTTGGGAGGAAGATATAAAACTGTCTCTATTTTAAGTCACATGAGTATTAGTGTAGGAAATTCTAAAGAAGCTACTACCAGAACTAATATGATTTTAGCAAGGTCAAAAGATACAAGATCAGTATGAAAATATAGTTTTACGTACTAACCCAAAACTGGAAAATGTAGATTCCATTTATAATAGCTTTAAATTATGAAACAGCAAAAACCTTATATTTAAAAACAACAACAACAACAACAACAAAAAACATGTGAGATCTTTACCCATATAACACTGATGACAAAAACTAAAGAAAAATCTCAGTAACTGGGGAGATATACCATGTCCATGGGCTCAAAGAGTCAATATTGTTAAGACAAAAATTCTCCCAAAGTTAACCAATAGATTTAAAGCAATCTCAATCATAATACCAACTAAATTTTTGTTGGGGATAGTGGTTTTTAAAATTGACTAGCCAATGCTAAGATTTATACAGAAATGCCAAAGACCTGGAGTATTCAAAGCAATCTTTAAGACAGAAGGACTTCCATATCTAAGTCCAAGACTTACTCTGAGGTACAGCCATTCAGACTGCCCAGCAATTGTCTGTCAGAAAGACACCAAAGCAATTGAATACCCACACTGGGGGGAGGGAGATCTACCACAGACAAATATTCAAGATGGATCAAAAACCTAAATATAAAAGCCAAAATGATGAAGTTTTTAGAAGAATAGGAAGTCACAGTCAGAGAGAAAATTATTTGTGAAACACACAGGTGACCAAGGACTGGTGTGCAGGACATTAGGATCCTTAGAGCTCAGTAATAAAAAGGCAAAGAGCCCCAGGAAACACTCAAGGGAAAAGGATGCATCAACAGGCAGCTAAGACATGAAGAGGCTGGTTCTTGGCAATGAACATGAATCCCACCATGAGCTACCACTTTGTGCTGAGCAGACAGCCACCACCACATGCCGGCAAAGCCATGCCACAGCCGGAGCTCCCACGTCGCTGGTGGAAGTGTAAATGTACAACCACTTTAGAGAAACATCTGGTAGTTGCTTGTAAAACTAAACATACAACTACCCTATGACCCAGCGTTCCATTCCCAAGTATTTACCCAAGAGAAATGAAAACATATGTCCACAAAAAGACTTGTAAAGAATGTTCATAGCAGCCTTAGTCATAGCCGCTAAGAGAGAAAAAAGACCAGGTGTCCATCAACAGGAAAGTGGGCACCAAATACTATGTCCATATAAAGAAACGCTTCTCAGCAACGGACCAGCATGCAGCACGGATGGATTTTAAAAACACAGAAAGACCATATCCTACATGGCTCCATTCACAGGAGGTCCGGAGCAGTGAACCCTAACTGCGACCCAGAAAGAGTCGCAGAGGTCACCCCTGGGCAGTCATGGGATTTCATAATGGGGTGGGAGGTTCTGAAGTGGAAGAGATTATGGCTAAACTGGTCGTGTACAATTGTCATAAATCTCTCAATGGCACACTTAAGATCTGCATTGAATTGTAAGTTTTATCTAAAAATAAAAAAGACCATAAACATATACTAAATTCTAGTCACATTATTTGGGAGAAAGTGTACTGATGTCTGCACTTACTTAGGAATGTAAAGATAAAACATGGATTGGAAGATGGATAGGCAGACATGACTGAACAGATGAACAGATATATGACAAAGAGTGTTAAAAATTACAGCACATACAATTGTGTACAGTACTTAATACCTGATCATGACAATAAACAACTGTGTTACTACATTATGCATTTACTACATTATTTTATTGTTTTGTTTTTAATCCTCACCCAAGGTTTTTTTTCCATTGATTTTCAGAGAAAATGGAAGAGAGGGAGAAAGACAGAGAGAAATATCAATGTGAGAGAAACATCAATTGGTTGCCTCCTGCATGTGCCCTGCCCAGGGCCAGGCCTGAGAGGAGCCTGCAACCAAGGCATGTGCCCTTGACCAGAATCAAACCCAGGACCCTTTGGACTGGAGGCCAACACTCTCTCCACTGAGCCAAACCAGCTAGGGCTACTACATTACTTTAGAAGTATCTCTTTCTACTAAAAAAAAAAAAGTGTGTTCAGAGGTTAGAATATCAACACAGGCACCAGAAGGTCTTGGGTTCAATTTCTGGTTAAGGGAGCATACACTGGTTGAAGGTTCGATCCCCATGCATGCAGGAGGCAACCAATGTGTCTCTCATATTAATGTTTCTCTCTCTCTCTTCCCCCCTCCCTTCACTCTCTCTAAAAAAAGATCAATGGAAAAAATTTCCTTGGGTGAGGATTAATAACAAGTTTCCTGTAAAGCAGTAGCTGTGTCACATTGCAGGAGCCTCATACATGAGGTGTTTATCTCATCTCTTGATTATGTCATCTCTCTGTGCTTGATTTAACCTAGTTCTGTACAGTAATCTCCTATACGGGCTTGAAGCCCAGGAGCAAGTACAGTCTGCACCATCAAATGTGAATAACTGCCTCTGTGATGTTCTCTCTAATGAGGCCTTTCTCAGACCTGTCCCATCAAGTGGCATATGACTGAATTTTCAATCAAGGTGGGTTGAATCAAAGGATGCAGATCCCGGATACAGAAAGTCAGCAGAATCATACCAAAAACAGTAAGGAAGAAAATTACAAAACAATCTTCACAAGAAAGTATTTAGAAAAACATTAGCAAATACTCAGCATCATGAAAAATAACTATTGTACTATATTTTCCAAAACAAAATTAGTGCGAAGAGTGGCATTCGACCTGTCCCAAGACGTTTAGCCAGCAATGCATGAAGGAAACCCACTGTTAGAGACAGGTGCTTGGAGAGAAAGGCCCCGCTGACCCCCAGAAGACCCGAGACCCAGGAGTCCTGGGATCACGCAGGACGCCCCACCCAGATGCCCTGAGCCGGTGCGTGCCTGGAGGTCTGAAAGGACACTCGCCAAAGGGACATGACTCCATCTACCACTTTACTTATTTATTTGTTTTTTTATTTATTTATTTTTATATATTTTAGTGATTTTTTACAGAGAGGAAGGGAGAGGGATAGAAATCTAGAAACATCGATAAGAGAGGAACATCGACCAGCTGCCTCCTGCACACACCCCCTGCTGGGGTACAATGTACATGCCCTTGACCGGAATCGAACCTGGGACCTTTCAGTACGCAGGTCGACGCTCTATCCACTGAGCCAAACCGGTTTCAGCTATCTACCACTTTAGATAGAACTGTGTCCTAAAGGACTCACGACCAACATGTGTCCTTTTCTAACTACAAATTCATCATAGAACTAAAAGCAATCATTTTTACATGCAAGAAGCTGGGTGCAGCACCTTCCTGAGACTATTTTCTGAGGGAGAAGTAAGCCAAGGCTTACTTCTCATACAGAGCCACCTCCTCTGGGGCCATCTGCCTGTCACATCACAGGCCATCGCAGGCATGCTGCCGAGACCCAGTCCCCTTAAAGGGGTTCCAAGCCAGCCGTTGAACATGAGTCCCAACCCCAGTCCTCGAAAGGTGCAGAGGGCGAGGAAGCCTGTGCCCCTGGCTATGAGGGAGCCATGTCACCGCCAGAGGGAGATGTACTTACTCTGCAGCCACCGCTCACGCCTCAGCTTCCGTTTCTCCTTCTTGGGCAAAATCGTCTTCGCCTCGGCACCTGAGGACAGAGCACACGTGCAGTGAGTGGAGGAGCGTCCCCGTTCCCGCAGGACAAAATCTAAAGTTCCCCACCCACAAAGCCTGGGAACAGAACTGGGCAGGTTCTGACAGTGCCAGGCAGCACTGCCCCCCTCCCCTCCATGGGCCATGGTGCCCACAGCAGCTGGGTTGCACCCAGGGGCGAGGCCAGCCCCAGCCTCTCACAGCCCCCAGGGAAAGATGGAGCAGTGGCTCCTGCAGTGCTGGGGACACGACACTGCACGTCAGCACAATGTCAGGAGGGTGCCCTAAGCACAGGGGTCCCTGTGAGGCAACAGCCTGGCACTAACACGGGGCTGCCCCGGGACGCCAGGCAGGCCTTCACCCACCTCCTCGCCACCCCAACCCAGTATGACCTTCTGGAGGGCTGCTGCTTAAGCATGCTGACAAGAGAGGGCCACACTACTCAAGGAGGACCCACAAGCTATTGAAAACGGTGAGCACCTCAGAGCACCACGCTCCCCTTCTGCTGAGCCCAGGACCTGAGCACAGTCCCTGACTGCTTGGAATTCCTCTGCACAGGTGCTGCCGGAAGCCGAGGACGCAGGTGAGCCCAGTCTAAGCAAGTGGTGGTCCCACATCTTGTCACCGAATCAACCAGGAGAGTAAAACCCACTCCCGCCAGAGGTGCCTTCCCCCAGGGCCCTCTGTCCATCTCGCCTGCCATGTGGGGATGTCCCCAGCCTCACCCCCAGCATGGTGGGGTACAACACACACCTTCTCCTTTGTTCCCAGCTCTGTCGTTAAACACTGGCCACCTAGCTGACCTCCCACTGCCCACCCTACTCTCCTCAGCTCCTGTCCCGTCCCGCAGCGCTGTCTGCTGTTACTTTGTGATGACTTCAAACGCCCAGGTGTGTGGCCTCCCCTTCCTTCATGATCCTGTCCTCACCACCATGGCTGACTGTGCACCTCCACTGTTATGGGCTGAACTGTGTTCCCCAAATGTACATGTGGAAGACCTCATCCCAGTACCCCAGTAAGACTGGTGTGCCTATAGCAAAAGCAGATGAGAACACAGACATGCACAGAGCGATGACCATGTGAGGACACAGGAAGGAGACGGCTGTCTGTACACCCAGGAGAGAGGCCTCAGGAGGAACCGGCCCTCCTGGTGTGTGAGCCACTGGGCCATGGTGCTTTGTCATGGCCACTTGAGCTAACGAAGACACCCAGCTTCTCTTGAGTAACTCAGAGCACTGTGCTCCCCACATTCAGGCAGGCCCGAGCTTCACCTCCCCTAAGCAGCCACCTGTGACCCTCATTTGCCCACTCAGCTACCAGGTGCCAAGACCCCGTCATACTCACTAGCGTATGACATGCTAACTACCTGGAGAAACCCGATGACCGTTAGGAGCACTGAGCACATTTATGCCAGTGACCCCGTGACTAGTCCCATTTTACAGATGAGAAAAGCAAAGCTTAGAGGGAGGCCAGGTCACGGGAACTGTTGTGGCTCAGTGTGAGGGGGGCCCACAGCCATCAGGCTTCCGCAGCACCATGTCCTTGGCTGGACCCCGCTGAAGCGTCACCAGCACCCCTGGGACCAGGCCACTGGAGAAGTACTGGGGACATGGGATTTGGGGGTTTATTCCCCCAAAGAAACTATGATCCAAGGAGGGTACGTAGGTGCAGCTCCTCAGAGCACCCATATAATGCACATGGCCCAACTGCAGGACACGCAGTGTCTCAGGTCTGTCTCGCTGGTCCCCAGACTGCCATCTCCTCCCTGGCAGGCAGGGGGTGGGGAGCGAGATACAGAGCCCTTTTCCCAACAGGCACATTCGGGGTGGGAGACCCACCAATGTGCAGCATGGTGCCCGCTGCACTGCGTGCAAGCCACTGCCCCACGTTGGCCAGATCGGAGTCCCAGCTGAACAAAGACAGTCAGTGTGTCTGAAGCCGTGGGGCCTCAAGACAGCCCGACTGTGCCAGCTGGCACGTCGGGTGGCACTGGATTCTGTTTGGACAGGCTGGAGCACCCAGACAGCGTCTCCCCACCCGGGGGAATGCACGCTAGGGGAGCGGACGGTGCCAGGCTGGCAGGTGCACCATTGGAGCACGAAGATGATGCAGTCCAACGACTTTCTCCCTGACGTCAGGGCTGTGGCATGAGGGCACGCACGTGGGAGGGCGGAAGGTCAGAGACGCTGGGCCTACTGACAGCTTCTCTGCTTCCCGCTCTAAAAATGGAGCAAACGCCAGGCTGCTGCACTTCCTTGGCCTTAACTGGGTCCCCAGCGATAAGGTGGCATAAGCCCAGGACATTCTATATGAGATGCACACCCTGACAGCTTTACTTCCCGCAGATGAGCTTGGCTATTACAACAGATCCATGCCATCTAAGCAAACAACGAAGGAACAAGTTCTGTGGAGAGCCAGGCGGAGATCCTGCTCAGGAATAAGCCCGGAGCACATGACTTCATGGGAATTACGCCCTTTTCCAGGAGCCAGGCGCTATGTGTCAGGCCCCATGGCACCTTCTGGACACGCCCCAAGTCAACACTGGCCACGGGGGAGGGGGATGAAGCATCCGAATGACAGAGTGAGAGTGACTCCACACTCTGGGGCAGGTCACCCAGCCTGAGGGCTCAATCTGAACCTGGGCAGGTACCGGGAATGCCTAGTCCAGGGCAGGCCTGGCCAACCTGCAGTGTGCATGTGACCCAGCGAGCAGTTTGTTCTTATCTTAAAGATGAGTAACATTCTCCATAACCTAAGATTAAAACATTTAAAACCACCACCCAACCAAGCTAAGCACAGGCAGGGAGGGCGGGGATGGCCACCCTGGGCCTCCTGCTCAGCGCGGCAGGCTTCTCCAGCGCCTGAGCCTGCCCTGAGCCCACCCGAGGTGCCTCCACGGCCTTTGGCTGCAGCAGGAACCCTGGGTGCGGACCCAAAAGGCACCCAGCAGCCCACAGAGAAGGCCGGGTGCAAACTCAGGCAAAGGTTGCTTTCACAAGAAAAGGAGAAGGTGAGACGCTGCTGTACATAACAAAACAGTAAACTCTGGAGCTTTGATTGTAGAATCACAACTTGGACAGCTAGTCTTCGCATCCAGAAAACAGGAGTGCAACTACAGCAGTGTGGATGAGGTCAGTAACCTTCTGCTCTGTTCTCATAAAGGAGTCTTGAGGAACGGATGCAAAGTTCAAGTTCAAAGGAGATGCCCGTCTGCCTGTCCCAGTGCCACCCCTGTACTAGGAAGGCCCACCCCTACTCCCAGTCCTTGTCCAGTCAGCACAGCCGCCACCAGTGGGGATAGTCAGGACAGGATACGGTTTCACAGGTGTTGAATTTCGGGAGGATATGGTTAACGGGATATCACAGGAGCATATTCTAATGGAACAATAAGGAAAATCAGTTTGTAATCAGCCTTTTTACCAACGACATCAACAGCGCTGTGGGAAAGGACCTGGGCACAGGGGATGAGAGACAACTACAGGTTATAGCTGATGTGACCGAAGTCACAAAATGCAAAGGCATCTGTGATGCCCACGGTCTCCTCACCACAGTGGTAAACACAACCTAAGACACAGGTTTGGGAGGAAAATTAAGCAGGAATCATTTACCTCCCTCTGTAAGGTTCCCAATAGATTAGAATGTAAATAAAAAAATAAAGCCACAAAAGTACTACAAAAAACACAGATTTGGCTACACACAATTTTTTAAAATATATACATATTTTTATTGAGTTCAGAGAGGAAAGGAAAAGGAGAGAGAGACTGAAGCATCAGTGATAAGAGAGAACCATTGGCTGCCTCTGACATGCCCTACACTGGGGATGAAGTGTCAGCATACACAGACTGAAGGGTCCCAGGTTCAATGCTGGTCAAGGACATGTGCAGGCGGCAAGTACAGGAGGCCACCAATTGGTGTGTCTCTCTCGCATCGATGTTTCACTCCGTCCCTTCCACTCTCTCTAAAAATCAATGGAAAAATATCCGTGGGTAAGGATTAACAACCAAAAAAGCTCAGTCTACCAGTAAGAATACATTTTACAAACCAGACCCCACTGTCCACCCTTCATATGGCAGAGAACCGAGTCTGGAACCAGCTGGCACAAACCAGTGGCAGACTTGTGAGCAATGGGTAGAAGCTCCATGGGCAGTGTCTTCACAAGGCAAACTGGCACCATCTACTGGCATTTTCAATCGCCACTCACTTGCCTCAGCAATTCCACCCCTGTGGTTTTATCTGCAATGGGGCTGGGTTCAATCGGGCCCAGCCCCACAGCCATTCATCCTGCTCCAACCCCTTCCCTCTCAAAATGCCCAGGCAGAGTCCTCCCGGGGTTCCTTCCTTGCCCTGGCCCTTCCCTGCTTCTGTCTGTTAAAAAGAACGGGCTCCAGGCAGAGCAGGCGAGAGCAACCCAGCAGCAGGGCCCCTCCCCACTTCCCGCTATCACTGCGGGGTCAGAGCCACAGCACGTCCTCGCCTCCGGTCCTGCGCTCGGCCAAGCACACAGGCCTTCAGGATGGCCTTGGAGACCGTGGATAACCTCCCAGGGCCTGGGGGAGGCATTCCCACCGAGGCCCTACTCCCCCAAGCAGACACCAGGGCCAGGAGCCATGCAAGAGCTCACAACCAGCAGCCGCAACCACAGAGGATATAGCCCTCTCTGGCGGCTGGCAGCACAAACATGGCAGGGACAGGCTCCAAATGCCACCCACTGTCCTCAGGGACCCACACACGCTACAAGCACCACCAGGTGGTCTGTCCAGCAACTGGCTCCTCTGAGGCAGTCATCCCTCCTCCACAGCCCCTCTTTGTTGGTTCCCTTTTACAGCTGGGGGAGGGGTGGAGGCGAGGAAGGGAAGTGGTCTGAGGGTCTGTATACCCCTGACTGCAGGCTGGAGGAAAGTGGAAAACTCCTGAACCCCCGGAAAGCCCGAGGGTTCCCTGTGCGCTGGAGCAGGGCCTTCCCCAGCTCCTCTCCAGAACAGGGCCAGCCTCTCCAACCTGAGCTGGGCTGTAGAGAGGATGCAGCTTTGCCGCCCTCTGCCGAGCAGTCCTGGGCCTGCACCTGCTTCGGATTCCGGTTTCAGAGGGAACCCCTGCGGTGGGTCAGAGGCACAGTGGGGAGCTCCAGCATGGCACAGGGAAAATGCAGGCAGGCGCAGCACTGTGGTCTGCATGGCCACTGTGATCTGCATGGCCGTGAGGCCCAGAGCACTCTCTGATAGGGGACCAAGGGGTCTCAGCAGCAGTCCCGGAGACACAGAAGGCGGGTGCACACACTCCAGGTGCCCCTGCAACAAAGTCCCTCCACTGTGGTGTCCTTGTCCACTCACCACTGCCACTTCCCCGAGCTCTCCTGCCACAGAACCCAGCAGACATGCTTCCACCGCCGCCCTCCAAGTTGTCCAGCGTGCTGACCGTCAACATACTGCCCACCAGCATGGTGGCAATGCTGAGGCTCTCCTCCCATACTCCTGCTCCTGCCTCCCTAACCAGGCCTATCCTCCTCCACTCCCACCCCACCCTGCCCACCTCTCTGGGCATGAGTCTGGGACTTGTGATGCCCAGTTGAGGCCACAGATGGAGTGCTGGCCCTAGACCCCTGGTGCTTGTCTGAGAACAGAATGGGCTTATTCTCTGCACCCTTCCAGCATAAAGGAATACCGGACTAGGAGAAGATGGGAAGAGCAGCAATCTGGGTGGGGGAGGAACGCACAGCCACACGTCCCCACATAGGAGAGGACACAGAGGAGCGAGGAAGCTGCTTCACAATGAAGTCCCTGAGCCCAGGGACCCTGACTCTCAAGGCAAAGCCAAGCTGGCTGGTGGTAGAAGGGGAAGCTGAATGGTGGTGGGTGGGGTCCTTCCACAGGGGGAGCTGGGTGTTGGTGGAAGGGGGAGCTGGGTGGTGGTGGCTGGGGTCCATCTGCAGGGGGAGTGGTGGGGGACAGCTTCTAGCTTGGTGGTTCCCCACAGGAAGTATGGAGCCCCTGCCTGCAGAGGGGACTGAAGGGAAACTGGGGGCAGATTGGACTCCAAAGGCCGCAGGGCTCCAGGGGCTCTGTGCAGAACCCCTGGCACAATGCCACCAGCAAAGCAGGTCCACCAGGTCTAAGGCTGCAGGGAGTGTGAGAGCACATCTGCCTGAAGGAGGAACACACACATGCACATGGGAGCCGCACATTCATCCATCAGGGTGATGGACCACAACCAGGCCAGGCTCCCCTGGGCGGGCTCAGCCTCTCCAGTCCATACCGCCTACAAGGCAGCGGCACAGCGGCTGAGACACAGGTATAGCTCTATTTGTGACTCAGCCCAGGGCGAAGATGCAAAAGGACGCCTCTGAGCTAATCCAGGCCGACAGGTGTCCTCACCTTCACAGCCCAGCAGGACACTGAGCAGCCAGGGTGAGTCATCGGTACCACTTTCCACATGACCTGTCCCAGGCCACCAGCCCAGCTCAGGCCGAGAGACTACAAGACCCACTGTTCCCCTGCAGGATCCAGGCACTGGCCAACAAGGAGGAAACAGGCTGAGGAACAACCTCAATCAGAAGAGATGCTGAAGAGGGCGGCTCCGGGGGAGGAGAGACTGAGATAATCAGTCACCTGCCACCAGGAACCTGGGGCCTCTTGATCCTTGGGGGCTCCCTCGGGAGCTGCAACAGCTGTGACAATGTCCACAGAGAACCATCCAGCAGTGCTGGAGGGAGGTCATCAGGACCCCCGTTCCCAGGTGGGCTTCAAAGCTCTGAGCTCAGCAAAGGGAGGGGCTGGCACCTACCATGGGGCTTGCCCGCCCCCTGCACTGCATCCTTGTCTGTGAAAGGGGCCAGCCCCTCACTGACATGGGAGTACCGCTGGGATGACCCCAGCCACCACCAGCCCCGCTCCCCCTGGAGATGACCCCCAGCTACCACCAGCAGTGGGCATGATTAAAGGCCAGTAGGACTTCCAGGCAGGTCCACGAAGCACATTGCCCAGCAGATGCCATGCTCCTTTGATGCTTGAGGAATGAACAGTCCTGGGAAGCTACACAGATGCCCAAATCCAACGGCCAACAAAGTAGAGCACCAGGACCTCAGCATGGCTCCTCTGACTGCAAGCTAATGCTTTGTCCCCTTCACTCCCTCCATGCTGCTCGGGGATACCAGCTGTAGCGCAGATGGCTTCTCCTTCAGGGTGTATGCACCACCAACAGGCAGGGCAGCATGCCAACCGGGACCAAGAAGGCAGAGCCCGTTCTGTGGACAGAAAGCAAACTTGGCCCCACAGCCAAGGAGAGGAAGGTCGCCGAGGTGACTGGCAGGAGGCTTGAGAACAGCCGCCATAGGGAACTGTCAGAAAACAGCATCTGTCAGCTCTCTAGGGGAATAACTTCCTCAGCAATTTTTAAAATCCTAGAAGAGTTTTTTTGTATGAAATGACAAATAGCTAACCTCTATAATAGGCAAAGCACTCACCCAAGGTTAAGAACGGTGATCAGAACTGCCCCAAATGCACAGACAAGCCTCAGTGAACATACAAAACGGTTGATCAAGAAATTTATGAACAGAGGGGGAGGGGCGGGCTGGAGAGGGTCAATGGAGGGGGGGGGAGGGGATGTATGTAATACTTTCAACAATAAAGAATTATTTTCAAAAAAAAAAAGAAACTTCTGAAAAACGAGGACTACTAGGAATTCCCTCTCAGAGGAAACCTTGTGATTGTGAAGGACCCTCACAAACACCTTCCTCCATTCGTTCCCCCATGACCTACCTTCCCACGGTTTGCGCCCTGCAGGGCTACAAACGTGTTTGTTGCTAAGATGCTACAGAAGCCAAGTTCTCACCACCCCTCTGAGTTTCTCACCACTCCCCTCTCTCCTGGGTGGACTGCACTGCACACACATTAATAAGCTGCGTTTCTCTTGATCTGTCTTTAGTGAACCTACTGTAATTTGCAGGATCCCTATGAGGGGAGGAGAAAGTGTCTGCTCCCTGCAGTTTCAATGCACGAAGAACGGCAAGGAGAAGTACGTGCATCTCCCGTGACATGAAAATGTCCAGAGCAACGATGCAAACAACATAACCCCACAGAAGACACTTGATGTAAGTCAGACCTGTGAACTAATCACATCTTACAGCCTGAGCTGTTTACAAACTACAGGTGAAAACCTGGAAAATGATACTAAACTTGGATGCTGCTGAATCCTCCAACAAGAAATAATTTAAAAAATCTGTATATCAATTCACTAGAGAGCCCCGGGGACACAAAGACTGTGAAAGCAGTAAGACAAAAAGGACAACTACTTACAACTTTAAAGATGAGAACGTACAGTCAATTAAACCAATGGAAGTCGATGTGCAGATAAATAAAGTACAGAAGGATTACAGAGACTGAGACAAACAGCCCTGCCCTGGAGGCCTGAGTGCTCCTCACAAGGTTACACACCTCTCTTATTTCAAATGCTCAGCTGCCTGTGCAGCTCACAGCTAACCAGCACTGAGGCTTCTCTCTGGACACGGTGACGGGCCACCCACCAGGCCTCGGGCGCTCCCTCCACCTCCGGGGCAATGGGACAGGGAGCAGAACTGCTCTCCTCTTCCAGGGAAGCTCAGCCGAAAAGCTCTGGCCACGAACTGGGCTGGATCAGAGAAACGTGGTAAAGACACCAGGAGAAGGCAACCAGCAAAATCCAAAATGGGGGAAGTGCAGTCAGAAAAATGCCCTCCCCACATCATAAAAAAATGAGGGGAAAGGTTGGGCGGGGGCTGCAACACAGCAAGGCACTTGTTTGCACCCTGATCTTTACAAAAACTTGATGAGGCAATCAAAAATGGGTGAACAATGGATGTATATTCGATAAGAAATTACTGCTAATTTGTTTAGATGTGATAACGGCACTGTAGGTATGCTATTTAAGAAAGAGCCCTTAGGAATAGATACTATAAAATTCAGGAGAGAAACCATTTGCTTCAAAATAATGCAGTCTGTGTGCATTGAAAATGGGTGCTGGGCACAAGGATTTTCTTTATACCATTCTTTCTATTATAGTATATTTTTAATTTTTCCATTAGTAAAAAATTTAAAAAATAAACAGTTAGTCCTAGCCAGTTTGGCTCAGTGGATAGAGCATCAGCCTGTGGACCAAAGGGTCCCGGGTTCGATTCCCATAAAGGACGTGTACCTTGGTTGCAGGTTCCTCCCAGCACAGGCCCTGGTCAAGCTCATGCAGGAGGCAACCAATCAATGTGTTTCTCTCACATCAATGTTTCTCTCTCTATTTCCCTCTCTCTTCCACTCTCCCTAAAAAATCAATGGAAGAATATCCTCGAGTGAGAATTTTTTTTTAATGTAGTTAACTGAAATTTGCTCTTGAACAACTCAAAGCCAGTCAGGCACTTGAAGCATGCAAACCGTAAGGTCCACCTCACTCCCTCTCACCTCTCCTGAAGGAAGCAACACTCCTTGTGTCCAAGTCCAGCTTCTGCACCAAGGCACTGGGATCTATCTTGGTCCTGGCAAAGATGTCAGTGTTCACAAACGCCCACTCCTAAGAAGGAAAGAGAGAAGACCATGTAAGACTAGCTCCATTTTTTGTGGTGAAATGCAAGGCCCGTCACACGGCAGGGAGACCCCTGAGTGAGAGGACTGGCTATCAGGAGGAGAAACCAGCCCACTCCCCAGCGAGGAAGCCCAGGACCCGGGAGCTCAGACTCCAGAGCCCTAGGGCAGCGCCTCCTGCCCGCCTCAAGTCACCAGGCGGGCCGTGCTCCTGGTCTAAGAACCATCTTAGACCGGATTCAGGATCTCCTTCCAAACCTCACATCTTCTTACTTGTACAGCCCTCTCCTGGGTCACATCCCTTCCTGTACCTCAGCACTCTCTCTCCTAGACGTGTTTCTGACCCGCATTCATCCCTACATCGAAGTTTTAAAACCCTCCATGTCACTCTACCCATCGCACTGTGCTCACCCAGAACCCACTCCCCATGCCCATTTGGCTCATCCCAGGGCCAATGTCCAGGACAGGGGCCTCGGGAGGGACCTCAGCATCCACTCCCAGCGGAGTCACACACCAACGGACAGAATGGGGATGGTGCAGATACTCATCTAAGTAGGTGTTGGCTGAGTGCGCCAACTACCACCAGACAGAGCAGCTCTGGCTGGCTCCTCAGGACCGCCCAGGAGCCGTAAATAAGAGACCTCAGAGAACCCAACGGGGAAACAGTGCTGGAGCCTGGGGGGCGCAGGGCGGGGAGGAAGGCCGTTTCAACTGACGCCTCCCAGCAAAGCGAGCCCAGGTCACATAAAAAAGTCTGTACACATTGATGCTCAACTTCTCTCTACTCTGTCACTTGGACAGTTTCTCAGTGGTAATTTCTCTCTCATAACTTCACATTTTGGAGCTTAATATAAAAATATTGATGACACATTGACCGTTTCCATGAATAACAATGTCATTATGTGACTAGAAATCAGAATTGCTTGTCTATTCCATGTTAAAGTTCAATGACCAAACCCCCCTGGCCCCAATCCCCTCCCCACCTTTCAAGAAGGTGAGGGCAGAAAACCAGGACTTTCTTCCCCTGCCCCCCAGCCCCTCTTGTTGAGCAGACACTCCACCCTGGGCAGGGAAAGTCCAGAACAAGCATGTCAAACTCAAAGGCTAACACAGGCCAAATGAACAAGGCCCTGCAAAAAAAAACAAAATGTGCATTGCAAAAAACCAATAGCTTCAATTTTCAGAGGTTTATTTTGATAGAGACATGGTGAATACAAAGGACTGAAATAAATGAGTAATCATTAACATAAAATAATAGAACATTTTAATAAAAATTAGTCTTTTTTCTTGAACATTAACTTACCAGACCCTGAATAATCGCACAAATTAATAAGCGTAACGCAAATAAAACTCTTTTTCTTGTTCTCCAAAAGCGAAATATTTCCTGCTGTACTCACCAACAAGTTAGTACAAGACTGATGCCGTGGCAATCAGCTGCTAAAACACTCAAGTCACCAGGTGGGCCACGCTCCTGGTCTAAGAACCATTTCAGACCAGATTCAGGATCTCCTTCCAAACCTCACTTCTTACTTATACAGCCCCCTCCTGTGTCACATCCCTTCCTGCCCCTCAGCACTGTCTCTCCCAGGTGTGTTATTAGTGGAGAGAAATGGTGTGCCTGCATATAAGGCACATAAGGGAAGTGAGTGCAACACAATTATAGTAGTCATTCATTAACGAACAATGTAGTTTGTTATTTTAATAATCATGTATAACAGGATATTGTAAAAATTAAGTTACAAAATTTTTATTAAGACGTTACTTACATATTGTTATATTGGCTGGGCTGCAAAAATATTCGTTGTGGGCCGCATGCAGCCGTGGGCTGAGAGTGTGACATGCTTGATCTAGAATACTGGGTCCTGACCCAGCTCTGCAGGGTGGAGCTACTTACAAGCCAAGGAGATTAGGGGCCACCCTCCAGTTGCACCATGGAGGGGCTGTCACCAGGGAGAAGCTGAGTTGTCCCTGGCCCCCTCTCTAGGGTGGGCACAGAGGTCCTGCCCAGGGGACGGACAGGCTCCAAGGAGGGAACTGACCCTATCAGGACAGAATGAGAAGCCCATGCCTAAGGGTGTTATGGGTGTGGGAACCATGCCAGGTCCCCAGAGAGTCAAGGCCGGAGCACAGAGGCCTTGTTATCAGTACACCCGAATGACCAAAGCCTGGGAATCCTCCTCAGGCCAAGATACCATGATGGGTGTAAGGACACATGGTACACTGTGCCCCTCAGTAACCAATATGACTGATGTAACTATTGGCATGAAGCCTTCTCTGTCTAAATGGTATAAAAGTAGGCTGAGGCGGGAGTGAGAAGTCTGCAGGAGTATGGAAGAGAGCAGCTAGAAGGGAGTGCGTGAAGAAGTCTGCTAGAGAGAGCAGCCGGGCAGGAGAGACAGGAGAAGCTGCTGAGCCGTAGAGCTCAGGTACCGCTATGATGTGAGGCGGTGAGTCTAGGAGGCAGCCTGTGGCTGCTCAGGTAGCTGTGGGTACAGAGACTGATGCTGCTTTAAGGGAAAGATACATGTTCACTAGCCGATGTCCGGCTGCCTGCCTGTATGGACTTTGCTGTGAGGACTGTTCTTGTCTGATGGTTATATGGCCACTGGCTTCAGCAATAAAGACTCATTCTTATACACCCACAACCTCTCATGGCTTCTCCGTCTACGACCTGGCGTCCTAGGAGGTCCAGCCCCAGGCAGAGGCGCTCAGACCCAACACCTGTTACTAGTGTACCGGCGGAGGATAAAGGAGGAACTTGGACTAAGTCCCCAATAGTTAGTACAGTGGGCAGGGTTTGAGAAGAACCAGCCCCGGCACAGTTGGATAGGAGAATTTAGAAGAATACATGGACTCACAGCCACTCAGAACGACTCGGAGCACCGTGCAAGCTCTGGCTGTCCCTGACAGCGGGACACTAGGGATCTGTGCAGGCTGTGCAGCTCACAGTGCACAATACTGGCAGCAACCAGCCACATGTCAGAGAAAGCATAGTGTATCAGTGAGAACACCACAGAGACAGCCAAGAGCCCTCTGGGGTCCAGGCTGCACCCCCTCAGGAGCAATCTACTGCGAGCCCTTGCCCATTACAACCACCTCTGGATGGGCACAACGGAAAGCATGCCCCAAGCAAATACAATGCAGGGCAGAAGGCCCCAGGCTGAAGGGCACAGTCACAGCTCTGAGCTAGCACTGGCTGAAGGTCACGTGCTCTAGCCCAGGAATGCCCCCAGGAGTGCATAGCAGGCCATGACGGTTCAGGACCGATCAGAGGAAAAGCTGCTAGTCCCTGACTGAAGGTGAGTCAAAAATGTAAACTCCCAAAGGTAATAGCAGCCTATGAGCCCCACACACATCCAGTGGAGAGGGGCCAAAACCTAATGAGACCAAAAGGGATTTCACACAATCTGAATAGTAAGTGACTTATGCTGATCCAGGCAGCCAGGTAAAAAGATTAAAATAATTATCCTATATAATAATGAGGTAATATGCAAATTAACCATCATGTCCTCACAAGATGGCTGCCTATGACCAGGTTGGCAGAGGGGTTACTGAGGGATGACCAAACGACTGAACAAGTAGGCTGCATAGGACAACCAGGCCGGCAGGGGAGTAAGTGAGGAACAACCCAATGACTGAACAGCAGGCTGAGTGGGGCCACCAGGCCAGCACAGAGGTTAGTGAGGGACGACCCAATAACTAAATAGCTGGCTGTGTTGAGCAACCAGGCCAGCAGGGGGGTTAGTGAAGGATGACCAAATGACTGAACAGCAGGCTACGTGGGGCAACCAGGTCGGCAGAGGAGGCAGTTGGGGGCAACCAGGCCAGCAGGGAGGGGGCAGTTGGGGGCAACCTGGCTGGCAGCAGGAGGCAGTTAGGGGTGACCAGACCAGCAGGGGGGCAGTTAGGGGTGATCAGGCCTGCACATGGAGGCAGTGAGGAGCGATCAGGCTGGCAGGAGGTAGGGGGGTAATTAGGGGCAACCAGGCAGACAGTCAGGTGAGAGATTAGGAGCTAGGTCCAGGATTGTGAGAGGGATGTCTCACTACCAGTTTAGACCCAATCAGGGGGTCAGACATCCCCCGAGGGATCCCAGATTGGAGAGGGTACAGGCTGGGCTGAGGGGATTCCCCCACCCCCACCCCTCATCTGTGCACAAATTTCATGCACCGAGCCTCTAGTTAAAACATAAAATAAACTTGTATACATGCATATAAGTACAACCAATGGACACAAAACTCTGGGGAGGGAGAGGATGTGTGGGAGGGAGGGAGGGGGGCAAAAAAAATTAATAAAATATGTAAAAATAATTAATTAATTAATTAATTAATTAATTAATTAATTTTAAAAAAACATAAAATAAAATCCTGGAGTCAAAGAGCAGTGATCAAAATGAATAATTTCACTTGAGAGATTCAAAACTATATTTGAACTGGCAGAGGAAAGGATCAGCAAATTTAAAGAAAGACTGATAGAGATGATGCCATCTGAAGAAAAGAGAGGAAAAGAACAGAGCATGACAGAGAAATCAATAGAAATAAATTTACAGAATAGGCTTGCAGAAGGGAAAACCTGACTGAAATGGAGTGACCAGGCCAGAAGGGGAGGGAGATCCAGCCAGTACCCACCTGACATCAATTACAGAAAAAGAGTCAATGAGAGACTCCACAGAAGAATCCTCCACAGGAAAGAATCACCAATTACAGGCCCGACAAGAAACGCTGCTGTACACTGCCCCTGCTAAAACAGGTGGGGAACCTTTTTTCTGTGCAAGGGACATTTGGATATTTATAACATCAAAATTACCAACTTAAAAGTTATCCTGTTAATTAAAATCATTTAATTAACTCACCCCTACTGCCTTGGCGGGGGGGGGGGGGCGGGCTGGCTGGCTGCACTTTCCCCATCCCTGTCCTTCAAGAAATTGACTCCCTAGCATCTCAGCCTATGAGAAACATCACCTCCCTGAACTCTCTTTCCTCTAATGGCCTTTCATTCAAAACCCTTCCAGTTTTCTCCTTTTTCTCCATAAAACAACTCTTCTACTTTGTTAGGCATGCCTGCAGTTTTTGATATAGCTGGCTTTCCCAAATTTCAATTCTTTGCTATTCCCAAATTAAGCCATTTTTGCCAGTAAGATAACTTTTATACTTAAGGGCAATGTGGGAAAATTAAAGGCTTCTTAGAGTACCTTTAAGCATGACAACAGAAGTAATGGAAGTACCAGATGAAGAGACGGAGAGGGAGATAAAATATTCATAGAAACAATGGTGGAAAACTTGCCAAATTTTATGGAGAATACTAACCTACGCATCCAAGAAGCTCAATAAACTCCAAAGGGATCACAAACTCCAGACAGAACAAACACAAAGAGATCTACTACTACATCAAGGCACATTAGTCAAAATACTTCAAGGCAAAGAGATAACCTTGAAAGCAATAAAACACACACACACACCCCAACAGAAGATGATTGATTCATCACCATGAAGTGATGATTAACAGCTGACTCCTCATCAGGAACAATAGAGGTCAAGAGGCAGTGGTATGGCATATTCGAAGCATTCAATCTTTCAAGAATGAGAGTAGAACAAATACAGTCCCAAATAAAGCAAAGCTGAGCCGAGACCGGTTTGGCTCAGTGGATAGAGCGTCGGCCTGAAGACTGAAAGGTCCCAGGTTCGATTCCGGTCAAGGGCATGTACCTTGGTTGCAGGCACATCCCCAGTAGGGGGTGTGCAAGAGGCAGCTGATCGATGATTCTCTCTCATCGATGTTTCTGACTATCCCTCTCTCTTCCTCTCTGTGAAAAATCAATAAAATATATTTTAAAAAAAATAAAAGCAAAGCTGAGAGAATGCATTGTTCATAGATTTGCCTTCTAAGAAATACTAAGGGCATTTTTTAGGCTGAAAGCAAATAATACCAAACAGTTCAAATCCACAAAAACAAAACAGGGAGTCTAGAAAAGGTAAACATGTAGGTAATTATAAAAGAGTAATCCTAACAACTTCAGGCTGGGCGTAACATATAGAGGAGTGGGCACAAGTAGGTTAAATTGCCAGGAATCATAAGAATACGAGGTAAAATCAAGAAGATAAATACAAATAAATAATGCAATAATTAATAAGTAATACAATAACTGTGTTCCCTGTACTCACCACTGTAAACCTACTTTTGTCCACCCGTATATAAATAGATACAATTTGCATAACAATATAGCAGGACAAGGGGTGGCAGGGAATGGAGCAGTACAGATTCTATCTTTTACTGGAATTAAGACATAAATACTGAAATATATTGAGGGCCCTACATCAACCCCTAGAGGATAACCATTATCAAAGAGTCTCTCCATGACCAAACACTGCCCAAACTCCCCTGCAATTTCCTCAACTTTTCATAACACCAAAAGCACAAGCAACAGAAGAAAACAAGATAAAGTAGACCTCATCAAAATTAAAACCTTTGTGCTTCCAAGGACAATATCAAGAAAGTAAAAAGACAATTCACAAAATTCAGAAAAATATTTGCAAACCATACCTATCTGATAAGGGCTTGCTATCCTGAATATATAAAGAACTGTTAAAACTCAACAAAAAAACAAACACTTAAAAAATGGGCAAAGGACATGAACACACATTTCTCTAAAGATATACAAATAACCAACAAGCTCATGAAAAGATACTCAACATCAAATGCAAATCAATGAAATATTACGTCACACCCACTAGGATAGCTATATAAAAAATAAAAAATAAAAAAAAAGACAGACAATAACAAGCGTTGGTGAGGATGTGGAAGAATCGGAACCCTCATGTATTGCTGGTGGGAATGTAAAATATTGTAGTGCAGTCACTGTGGGAAATAGTCAAGCAATTCGTTTAAAAGCAAAACTCAGCATTCTGTACCACCCAGCAATTCCACTCCATAAATCCACTGGAATGTTCACTCCCAATAGCCAAAAATTATAATAGAAACAACCTAAGTATCCATCAACCTAAGTATCCATCAGACAAAATGTGGTGGATATGGTACACTACACCCATACAATGGCATGTTTTTCAGCCATTAATAAGAAAGACAAAGAAATGAATATTACAAAAATAATACTATGAGGACCCTCAAAAGTATGCTAAGTGAAAGAACTCAGATATAAAAGGCCACATATTGTATATTCCATTTATATAAAATGTGCAGAACAGGTAATCCTTTGAGACAGAAAGTCTCAATTATTGATAATAGGGATTGCTTTTTAGAGTGATGAAAATGTTCTGCAATTTTTAGTGCTTTTCCTGCACTTGGGCCTCTAGTCCTACATAATAAAATCCTAATATGCAAATTGTCCCCTCGAGGAGGAGTTAAAGGAAATTCAACCAGGGGGCAGACTGGGCTGGCCTGCCAACAGCAGGAAGGGAGGTCCCAGCCAGCAGCTGGCAGCTGCTAGAGTCACTACCAGTGCATAAATTTCGTACACTGGGCCTCTAGTATTCTCCTAAGTGTCCTGGTTTGGGGAAAACAATTTACTAGAGAGCTGACAGTGCTTTCTAAATGGCTGCAAAGTGCTGTCTCCGTTTCCCTGATCCACTTGTCCTGGCTTACTGGCCTGTCTCAGTGGGGGGGTGTCTGGTTCTCGCACAGCTCAAGGCGTGGGGCGAGCCAACCCTACCAGCCATCTCAACGTGGGAGGAGGCCCCCACACCTCGCCGGCGGAGAAGGCGCGCAGATCGCACAGCAAACACCGCGAGGGCAGCACCCGGGTCGCAGGAGACCCGCCTGGGGAACCACAGGGCCGAAGCCAACACAGGACCCCCCAAAGCCGCACCATGCGGCAACCCAACCAACCCCCGCCGACCCTACTCCCATCCCGACCGCCTCCTGGCTCCTAGTTTACCTTTCCGCCAGCCGAGGTCTGCGGAGGGGCCCCCTCCTGGGCCGGAGGCGCGATGCCGGGCGCGGACTCAGCCGTGAGCCTCACAGCAGCCTGGTGCACGCGGGCCCGCAGCCCCCTGACTTTCCCCATGTCTCTGGTTGAGACCCACAGTGGACCGGAAGCCGCGGGGCGCAGAAGACCGCGCCTGCGAGAAGAGGCCCGGGCGGAAACTGGAGCCCCGGCAGCTGGGTTCCGCTATCCCCCCTGCAGCGGCTGCGCAGTCTCTTGGGAGGGGCGGGGCCGCAGAAGGGTGTGGCCGGTGATGGGCGGGGCCTTGTGTCCTAGTCCCGCCCTGTCCCCGCCTCCTGGAACGCCCCGCCTCCCAGGCAGATGCGGTCTAAATGCCGGAATCCTGGCAGCCTAATTGTGATTAGAGGATGATGAATATGGAGTTGGATGGAGCAAGCTTGTTGGAAACACACGAGTGTGTTCGCCACCCGCACTTGTGCCTTTCGTACAGTCTCTGAGGGAGAAAAAGAATCAGAGGCCTGGGTGCGGCCTGCATATTATGTGAAGTGGTGACCTGTCTGCAATGGGAGATCTGAGACTGAATGAATGTGGTTGAATCTAAGAGGAGACCCTTGCCTGAGCGAGTCCATTTGTTTTATTAACTGTGACTGAACCTTTACTTCATGTCCACTTTTTGGTTTTTTTGGTTTTTTTTTACAGAATTTTACTTATTCCTCAAAACAATTCCTGGAAATGGGGTGTAACTCGTCTGTTTAAACTGGAAACTACGTGATAGACTAACTTGTTGCAACACACACAGGTCACGTGCTAGGAAGCTGCTGGACCAGGCCCTGAATGAGCCCTGCAGTTCACTTTCAATCTCCCAGGCATCCAGCCCTGAGGGAAACAAGCTGGTGAGGGTGTGACTTTCATCCTCAAAGAGCCCTTTGTTCTGTTAGGTCCACACGGGAGTCCAGGCTCAGCCAGGAGAGAGGACACACCGGCCCCTCCCCACACAAGAGACGCCTTGGGTGCCAGCACACAGATTCCACCCTGTCTCGGAGCCCAGCCGAAACTCCCATACAGAAAATGGGCTTTGGAGAGGAATAGTTGGCCCCACACAGAGCCCTAAAAAGGATGCAAAGGTGCTTGCCCTGGTGAGTAGTTTCCCCACTGCAGGCAAATTAGTGCTCTCTTTTGGTTGTTATAGGCCTGTTCAGGGTGTGCAGGACCTGACCTGTCCAGATCTAGAATGTCCAACAGGGATGGGGACATTTGTAGATGACGAAGGCCCCTGGATACACCAGGCTGAACGTAAAGAAGCAAAGTCACAACATAGATCCACGCTGAGGCCAGAGAGAAATGTCCCTGGAAGAACTTCAGAGGCCAGCGCCTGAGTGGGCCATCCCGCTCCTGGGTGAGAGTCCCTGGCTGTCAGTGCTTTTCCAGGCTCCAGGTCACCTGCCCAGCACCTCGCAGACCAGGGGGGTTGAAAGGTGAACCTCTAGCTGGGCTGAGAGCTAGGCTGGAGGAACCTCTGGGAAGAGAGAGTTTTGGCCCAGCAAGTGGGCTTTCTGGAGTGCGAAGAAGGCCATGCCCATCCCAAGTCGGGTACCCACCAATCCCACAGAACCTATGGCTTCTTTAAGGGGGTGCCATCACATGTGAAAGAAACTTAGTTCCATTCCGAGTCCCCAACTGCGCCATGATAGAACAAGAATGCAGAGGCAATTTCTGCCAATGAAAGTCATGCAGGGGTGAGCTACGGGCATAGCACAGACTCAGAGACAAAGCCCAGGGGCATCGAGGACTGTCCTCTTGGCACCCCTCGCAGGGACACTAGGGGAAACCCCAGAAGCAGCTCCATCGACCCAGCATCGCTGACCTGACCTTTAACACACTCTGCATCCGACCAGCTCATTTCCCGAGTTGTCTGAAGCAGGGAGACTCCAGCTTGGCTCCTGGCAGGCGACACGGTCCCCAGGCTGGCCCAGGCAGTGGTGTAGACACCTAAGCAGCTCCAGAGGCCTGCAGACGGCTCAGTTTCAGGCTTTCCTTTTGCTCCCTGTGCAATCCACACTGTCCCGGTAAGAGGAGTGCTGCTCCAAAATAGATCTGTCAAAAATCCTGGGGCCCTGATGTCCTGTCTTTCCTCTCATCTCTTCTGTGACCACCTGAGCAGGGCACTCCATGCCGGAAAGGTACCCAGGCCATGATCTCCCTGGAAAGGAACGCCTGACTTTGGCCTCCACGGGAACCCCCCACTCCACCCACCCCCCAGCCATTCTGCCCTTCCATGCTCTCAGCCCCATCTCCATCTGTCCCGTGTGCTCCCCGCCTTGGTGGTCCCTTATGCCAACGCCTGGGGGAATTCTTTTTTTCTCTCTGATTCAATCTTTTGTCGCTGGAGGGCGCTCACGGACCAAGGAAGGCACACTTTGCTATTCTGCAGAGGTGAGGGCAGGGGTGCAGACTCAGAGGTGCCAGCTTCAGGTGGGGCGGTGGGAGGGGGGGAGGGAGAGGAAGGACACTTCTATCCGCCACCAAGGTCCTCCAGTCCCCGCAGGTCCTTCTCAGTAGTATAAGGATGGTTTCCGGAACGTGCAGTGCAAACCACCCCTCCCCCCACCCCGCTGCATATCATTGTCCTCTGGGTCCTGGGACCCTGCCCCAGTGCGTCCTAGTGAAGCGCCAGGGTCTGCTGAGGGGCTTCCGAAGCCCCCAGGCTAAGCTTAGAGCAGAGACCACCTGACCTGCGAACAGCGAACAGAGAACAGCGGAGTTGCTTCTCCCAGCACGACCAGTGACATACTGGGACCTGAAGCTCAGGGCCCACTGCACCCCAGCCTTGCCTGACCCTGGTCCAATGCTTCATCACAGGTGACGTGTGCTCAGTGTCAGGCCTTCCTTCCTAGCCTGGTCCTGGGGGCTGGCCACCAGCGTCCTGGGTGCAGGGTGCAGTCCAGCCCCAATAACCTGGCTCCAAACGAACCTTCCTCTACCCGGGGCAAAGGTTTTATCAGCCGCTCTTCCCACTGAATCCTCTCACCCCAACAGCTGCCTGGCCGGAGCCCACCCTCACTTAGCTGGGAGAGGCCTATTCATAGCTCCCAGGGAAGCAGCCAGGATTGGAGTTGACTTGGATAAGGTAGGACCTTCTGAGCCTCAGTCTCCCCATCTCTACAATGGGGATGGTAGGAGTCTTTAAGGGTCAACAGCTCTAGGTAGCACATGCTCAGGAGATGCCAGTGACTCAGGAGTAGTTAAGGAACAAGTGCAGATAGCTCAGGTATGAGGTTTGGGGCAGGGCGGAGCCAGCGTAGGCAACAGGCAGGATGCCTGTGGAAGGTGGAGGCTCAGTGCGCTGGGCTTAGGGTGCCTTGTCAGGGGCTAAGTCCTGAGTATGCTCCAGCCCTTCCTGCCCACTCCAGCCCCTGGGGCTTTCTCCCCCTCCCATCTTTTTGGGGACCCTCTCTTGCTTCCACAAGGTCTCGGCTCTGGAAAGGAGGCAGTGTGTTCTAGGACATTCTCTGACCCTGCCCAAGCCTCTATGCACAGTGGGCTCCATCCAGTGGCTATGGGTTGGGAAGCCAAGTTCTGGAGTGGGTGCCCAGGCCCCCCAGAGCATCTTCTCCCTTACACGGTGGACAAGCAGGTGAGCAGCTGCCCATGGGAAGGGACAGGTGTGTGTGACCTGTGCCTCCTGAACATGTGGGACCCTGGATGAATGTCTCTCTCAGTCCCACTGCCCGAAGGAGACACCCTGGCCTCTGAGACCTGGTATGCTGGGTTGCTGGTCGCCACTGCCCCCTTGACCTGCAGGCTTTGACTTTGGTTTCGGGGCGCCTGGGGTTTTAAATGATCCGTTTGGGTCTCTAAGATAAACAGTTCGTTGCGTGAACATCTCCCTAACTGGGCGAATTTCAGGGAATCGCCACCCCATTGGCTCCTGGGGCAGCAAGGTGGATGCCCGACCTACACACCTCTACCCACAGCACCTGTGACCTGGAGCTCCAGGTCCGGCTGCATCCAGGAATGCACCAGGAAGTCAGACGCAAACAATTCCGATTCCGAGGCTGTGGAATTCCAGCATGTGGAACCCCCTGGGGTAAAATACTGTGCCAAACGCTGGGGTGATTCAGGGAAGTGGGTGGGGTAGGAGGAAGAGGCCTGGGAGGAGGTTACCCAAGCCACGATTTCGACAAGTGGTAGCTCTGCAGCCCCACCAGGGTAAGGCGTGGCCCTCGTGGCTGATGCCCTCGTTTGCCCTCGAGAAGTGAGGGGTGGCCCCAAAGCCTCCCTCTCACCCACCCACCTGCCCCCACCCTCCCACCCGCCCCCCATCCTTCAGCTGCATTTGTTTCCTCTCCTCCCAAGCCTCTCCTAGCTCCTTGCAGGTGGCCATGTGGGGCTTGGGTCCCTTGGTTTTGTCCTGTGTCTTGTTCATAATAGTAACATCCTTTTCTGATTATAAAACTAATATGTGGCCTTCATAGACAACTTGGAAAAGGTAGGACCCTATTTTATTTTTTAAATAAAATTTTTATTGATTTTAGAGAGGAAAGGAGAGGGAGAGATAGAAACATCAATAATGAGAGAGGGTGCCCTCGACCGGAATCAAACCTGGCACCCTCCAGTCTGCAGATAGGTGCTCTACCCACTGAGCCAAACTGGCTAGGGCAGACCCTATTTTAAATGCTAAAACCCCTTTGATCCCATTGCTCGGAGATGGCAGCGGGGGGCGTATGGGTGGGCAGTGCCTAGGGACCAGCCCCTCCCAGCACCCCTGCTTTCTCTCCCTGAGTCAGGCAGCCTGTTTAACTTGGAGTTTTCATTGTTGCTCAAGGATGGAAAGATTAGGTCTTCCTAGTGACCACCCAGCACACCGCCCACAGTCTCAGCTCTGTCTGCCCAGCCTGGCCCTGCATGTGTGGGTGACCTTCAGCGGGTCATTTCCTGCAGGGATGAGGTCACACCCAGATAAGGGCAAATGCGCCTTCTCCTGCAGAGCTTCCGCTTCACCCCTGCTAAGTCAGCATGGGGTGAAATCCCCTCTCCCCTCCCCCTCTGCCCTGCTTGGTCCCCTGCTGGGCTGGCCCCAGGCACTTGGTCCTGCCCCCTGCCCCCTGCCCCCTGCCCCCTGCCATGTTTCCCTGTCTGCTGAGAGCCTCGTGTACCTCATCTCAGTGTCCTGAGAGGCAGACCCTCACCCCCATTTTACAGGTAGAAAAAGATAC